ATTTTAATTTTAATTTACTTTGAAAAAAAAGAGGAAAAAAAGGAGGGGGGGGGGAGACAATGGACTGTCATATTTTATTATCTATGTCTTTGACCTTTTTGCTTCTTTAACAATCCGCACACAATCTGTAATGTTGTTTCAGTACAAATGCCTTATAGAGGTCGTTGAGTAAATGTCAAAGTAATATTTTGACTGGTTAGCAAGTATCTCTCTCTTTATACATATATATATATATACTCCACTTGGCATTACTTAACCTTCAAATGACATTTATTATTACCAAATAGTGATTCCGGTGGGACAGCGCTAAGTTCAGGGACTTACAGTGCTAAAATCTGGGGTTTGACTCCCGCGGTACATAGAGCAGATAACTCAATATAGCTCTGTTCTAAAGAAAACAACAAACCAATTCTACCTAATCTTTATTTACTGACGTCTCCTAGTATTTTTTTAGCTTTGTTCTTTTTATTTATTTTTTATCTTTTGTTAGACAAGGCTTAGCTGAAATAAGATATTTAATCTTTTACAAAAAATAATTTTTTCTTGTCTCTTTCTTTTCAGTTACTAAACTAAATTTTTGACGATAGTTGGATGATTTAATCAACAGTTTTCTACAACCCTGATTTTAATTTATACTGAATAATAAAGTTGTCTATATACAGCTAGCAACAGGCAGCAAGGAATATCTTAGTAGTAACTATACCAGCACGCGTACGTATCGAACTAATTGGCCGCAGAGACTTTATTTACCACTACTCTACGATGTCTCTCATTGGTTAAAAGCTCTTCTGTAATGAAAAATGTGGCATCACGTGATTTATTCCGCCTGGACGTTCTACCTTCACATGTAAAATAAAAGCTAGTGCTTTCACAACCGTATTAAAGTATTCTCTTTAATGTTAATATTTATTCATGGTTGACAATGGTATCATGTAAAGTAATGATAGTTTCTATCGTTCTTATTATTTTAGCTGGGACTGTAATCTACTTTGGTGAGTTTTATGTTTCTTATGATGGAACAGCTTATATTACATAGTTTGTTTGTTTGTTTTTAATTATGCTCAAAGCTACACAAGGGCTATCTGTGCTCTGCCCACCACGGGTATCGAAACCCGGTTTCTAGCGTTGTAAGTCCGCAGACATACCGCTGTGTCACTGGGGGGCTATATAACATAGAAGAAGTGCTAAATACTATAACATATTAATGCTTTAAAATCACAACTGTAAAACCAATGTGTATTAATTTTAACTTAAAGTTCGATAAACATTATTTAACTAGAGAAGAAGAAGAAAAGAGTTCGAGTTGAAATTAAAACAATAATATCAAAAGCTAGCTTTTTTACCTTATGAGTTTCACGAGCTTCTGGTAAGTCCAAATTTTCAGAATTTTCTGGTACGTGCACTTTAAACACCCTGTAAGTTTATGAAAATATACTATTCCAAAAAAGTGGATATATTTTATACATATGTGTCTGTGTCTATACTTAATGTAAATGTTTGAGATAAATTTTTACTTTGATAACTTATAATTTAAATTAATATAAATCCATTAAATATCCGTTCATTTGGTTTAATTTATATGAACAAATCGTTTCGGTTAGGATGAAAGCACAAAATAGAATGTTATACAAAATCCAAATCTACAGGAAATGGTTGTAAGCGGTGCTTTGAAATTTGTAAGTCTACTATGATTCATTTAATGTTAGAAGGTACACTTAGTATTTAACCAATATCCACTGTCAGATTATTTTACATAACATTTTATTGATCAAAAAAATAAGTATATAAACGTACCATTTATTCAGCACGGAGCAAGTAAACAAGCGTAACGTTTATTTAGCACATAGGAAGTAAATATTCGTAGCGTTTATTTAGAACAGAGCAAGAAACCATGTAACTTTTATTTAGCATGGGCAAGTAAATAAATAATATTTGATCACAAAAATTATTAAAATAGTAATATGATATTTTTATCACTGTTTTTTTAATAATTGGACGATGTTGATTAAGGCTGAACCAATGTTGTTATAAAACATTTCTTGATATTTAAATCATTAAGTACTTTAAACAGCAAAAATATAACAATGAATAAGAAGTCGGCGTTGTTAAGCCGACTTCTTATAATGAGTATAATGAGTTGCTGACATACTAAAATGTATCATATAATGTATTGATAACTAGCTGGAGTACCCGTCCCCTTGACGGAAGTTATGTAAATTCATGATTAATGAAAGGTTATCTTAAGACATGAAAAGTTGCTTCCGTTATACGTAATTGTAAAAATAGTAAAAACGCCCATACAAACTGCAAAACACAAAATGTGAAACCGCAAGTTTGTGTGTATTCGGTGAAGATTCATCAACAGGGGGCGAAGTAATGGTAAAAACAGCAAAACGCAAAACTGAAATTTTGTATGTATATCCCCATGGACCCAATGAATCTCCATACCAAATTTGATGAAGATCCATCCACAGGAGGAGAGGTAGTGGTAATAACCGCAAAAACGCCCATAAAAACCACAAAACGCAAAACTAAAGATTTGTATGTATCTCCCCATGGATTCAATGAACCTCCATACCAAATTTGGTGAACAATAATATTCATTTTCAACAAACCTGCTTGGAAATTGTTGTTACACCTATATTAATTTTGTTTACCGTACGGTGAATTAAAACGAACTCAAAACCCCCAATCATCACGAGTATTCAATACACGTTTGGTACTTTCAACATGCAAAGCACCTTATAGGACTCGAGGTCTAGAAGTCCAAGTCAGATACCTACTGACCAGAGGGAAGGAACATCCACAACCGAAAGTTATGCATGAGAGTGTTCAGCGGCATTTAGCGGCTCGAGCCTTGGACCTTCCTATCGGCAGGTCTGCATGATCAATAAGTGAAGCAACATGATTCATATTATATTTTCTTCATTGTGTAGCCAATGACAATATGTAATTACACAAAAAGTACCATTGATAATGAATTTCAACGTAACGACGACTTGTAATATTGTTGCAATTTTCATTGAAAGTAACGTGAATAATGTTGTGACATCGCGCCTAAATCATTATTCGATATTAAACAGCGGATCAACTGTTTAGTGATTATCCATATATATGTTTCAAATTTCTGTACGTTTTATTAAAAAGGACTCAAAGACTTCATAGATATTATAAAGGTACCACCATTATAAGAGGCCTAACTGTATTTTGTGGTTTGCTGACTTAAGCTGTGCTGACTAGCCTTTGAATAGGCGAAATTGCACAGCTTCTATGTCACATATTCTGTTTTCGATTTTACCATTGGTGGAAAAAATAATTTGTAACATTTATATATATATATATTAATTGTTGGGTTTGTTGGTTAGATTAAAAAAAGAGTTAACGCTTCACACAGTTTAATTAGCAATATGAATCAAAAAGTTTTAACAACAAATTTTATACAGAAAATCAGAAACTTAGTGTCTTAAAAATACACGATGAAACATAAATTACGCAGGAGGTCGCTCATATGTTATTTTGTTTGTAGAATGTGTACTGTACAAACAAAATTTTGCAACATGTGCATCAGTACAATAGTTCCGTTTTTCTCGACATCTCAAATAATTTGCCATTTAAGTATACCTGCCAAGTTAGCAAAACATATGGTGTATTACAGTGAGACACCTGCACGATACATGTTGGCCTAGCGTGCGTTGTAAGCTTAGCGCTCTACATGTACGAATAAACGGATATTTGTGTTGATATTTATATATCGGATTACGCAATACTACTGTTCCGTCTCCGTTCGTTAGTTAATTTTCCGTAACTTCGTTCCAACGAAACTTTAGCGACACAAGTCCTTTCTTAAATAAAACTGGTTTATTCTTTCTGAATATAACTTTACGATACACTTAATTTCAACAGTCGTCCTATAATAAACGCTATAATTCTCAACGAACGGCTCACGTGGCCAACAATATTCTGTCCGCATACATTCAAATACTCATTACACTGTTGTCCCTTCACGTTGTGACCATCTTATATATATATACAAGACTAACACATATCTAGTAAACGCTAGGGCATTCATGAAGGAACAGGATATTTCTAGAAAGGAGGTGGCGTGATACTAGTCACGTGACCTCACTGACGCAACAGGAGGATCGATCAGGAAAATTCCAAAGTGAAACTAAGTTTAAATAAATGACTGAGTTTGAGCTAAGAAAATAAAAAGACTAGACATATGATGTTTAGTGAAACACAATCTTTATTATTTTTTAAAGCAGAAAATCCAGTGTACATACTTTCATAAACACTGTATAGTTAACTTTTACAGGGCCTATAAACTGATCAACAGTTTTCTTCCCACAAGATGTCTTTCCATTGACCTATTCAATTTGATGACCAAGTAGAAATTGATATTAGTCCAGTGCTTGTACTAAAAGGAAATATGGGATATACCAATAATGATGCGTCTTTTCACGTGACTAGTTGTTGTTTTACAACACAGTTAAGGCTGTAATATCTAGATATAACTAATTTGGCTAGTGAAGGACATTGCTGTTTTTCACCTGTTTCTACACAATGTGCAAAGTTGCAGCAAAAGAAGATACTATCTGTTATAAAACAACAAAGGAATTAAAAGTAACTAGAATCAATATAACGAAACAGTTTTATGAATACCTGAAAAACTTTAAACAGTCCTGTATTTAAAAAAGAGAAGGTAGAAAAAAAGGTATATAAAACCTGAGAAGCCCTCATGTAGCTTCGCGCGATATTCAAAACAGATTAAACCGTTTACTTGCAGTACTTCCTGCAAGCGTGATGGATACAAGATATATCTTCTTTATAGTTCCATCTAAAGGGAAACTATATCTCCCTCTAAGAAATTACTGGGGTTCAAAACATTGTGTTACCTGGCTTTTTTTTTATTATAGTTATTCTATTATTCTGTGTCACTTAACCAGAAAACGCTAACTGTAGTGCTGCCATCGAGTGAGAGTGGTTGATACAAGACTTTATAAGTTTCATCTTTAAATAGGAAACAAAAATAGTATAGTGATAACGAAGTTTTGTTTGCTTTAATACATAATTGTTTATTAAATAATTAGGAAATTTAGATAGAATTGGAGTTTATTTTTTCATAAGTATGAAGTTATTGCAGTATAATCAAATCTTATCTGAATTCAAACGACTACATTCTAGGGATGGCTTACACATACTGAGAGAAAAATTTTTGCAGTGAGTAGTATTGTATTATAATGGTTAATAATATTAAAAATATAATTTAAGGGCGGCAAGGAACTTGTACTATTGGTCCTTCAAGACTGTCCGATTCACTAAGATAGAAAGAAACAAAAACTCAAAGCCAGTCCTTATCATCCATTGAACCAAATTTTTATGAACTTAAGACGTTAAGTTGAAGTCCAAGTTAAACTTAAAGCCTTCTTTTTAAAATTTTAAGCTTACTGCAGACATCACATCTGGAATCAGCCTATACCAAAGGCTAACTACCCTTTTAAAAAGATATAATTGTTTTAACTGAATGTGATTTCTTCCCTGACAAGTCTTTTATTTGTGTTCCCTAGTCCTAACATTCTCACTATTAATAATATGATAATAATATTATGAGTAAGTACAAAGAAAAAAAGATGATGCATCAACATTATTAATTCTCTTAAACACCTCGATCAGATACCTTAGACTGTATCTCTTCATTTTTCAAGATAAAACAGTTCAGAGATCTAAGCCATTCTATCCCATGTATTGCCCTTAAAGTTAAAGCCATACTTCACCCCTTTACAACAATTCAGTGCTTTTTCTCAGGTGGTCCCCCATTGGGACAACCGTAACTTTAGGGATGTACAGTGCTAAAGTCCAGGATTTGATTCCCTATGGTGATCATACCAGATAGCTAAATGTGGCTTTGCTCTAAAACAACAAATAAACAATAAATGTAAGTAATTCCTGGTCATTCCTTTGTGTTTGTTATTGATGTAAATTGATTGAGTCC